GACTGACTGACTGAGACCAACATTAGACACCCAGTAAGTAGCATTGAAAGATGGCCATTTCTTCCTGATACGAGACTGATCGGCAGTAGGTATCCATGACTTCTGCTACTAGGCATAGAATTCGTTTGAATCAAGACGTTCAGATTTCTAATGCTGACCTAATAATGTTTGATTCACATTTTTTAATTAAACATAATCATCATCATCATATTTCAAGGTGATTTGTTTAGTTCATTAATTAAAGACTTTAGTAAATAATTTTTAAAAAATTCCAGCTAACCAATTAATTAGTTTCCATTTATATAAATATATTTTTCATTTCATGATATTTATCACCTTGAAATTCTGTATAGCAGCCACATACATATATATATATATATTGTGAACTAATGTGCAGGTCATTATTGTTCAATGAACAACTAACTATACGTTAAAATTAGTAATAAAGATAAAAAGAAACTATTAAAAACGACCATTATTTAAAATAATATGGTCATAGATAAGCACTCCGCCAGTAGAACCTTCGGGGCTACTGCCGGTCCCAAGCCCGGGTAAAGGAGGAGGATTGGACATGGGGTTGGCGACCCCATTCCGTCAAAAACTAACTTGCCAAAAAAAAACGCTAAATAGATAAGCACTAGTGATGAATCCTAGACGAGGATAGCGAAACAACTCTCTTCCAATGATTCCAAGTTTGTATAGTTAGTTGGTTGTAGTAGTCCAACGATAATTCATTTACATCTTAGCTTTATGATATTGTTGGGGATGTTAGATCGCCCCAAAAACTTGCTTGATAAAAATGCCTTATTTTGGATTCCATGGTTGCCAGCATGGGCTGATCAGTTGACCTTGAGATTTCATTTCCTACGAGGAAGATCCTTGACTGCTGTGTTATTTTAGTGTGCTATTTTCGTAACTGTCCCAATGATGTCTCTATGATGTATAAATTAACGAGAGTTGTGTGTTTGATTGTACTGTGATTGCTGGGTGTTTATAGAATATACTTTCTATGCTTACGAAGACTTCTGTTTTACCGTTTGGATTCAATGTAGCCTACCTGGACGCTGGTTCATTGTCTCGTTCGCGTTTATCGACTAAGGTAAACCAGTAATAGCCTCGAGCATACCTAGTGACGAACCTAACTGATATAGAGATGATAATCATGCAAAATTTAGCGTCATTTCTGCTTCTCATTTTTTCCGAAAGTTTTAAAACTACTTACGCTTAAATTAAAACCATGAATTGATCAATGTTATAGACTATGATTAGAAACCTGAAAGCATTGGATAGTCAGTCAGTCTGTCATTCAGCAACAGCGTACAACTCCGTACGTACGTACATACATCAATTCAAGTTGCCATGCCATGACAGTACAGAGATGCAATTGTCGATTCAAATCCAATAGTGTTAGAAGTAGTAGTGTGGTGCGCGCTACTTATAAGTAGTATATGACGTGAGTGTCAACGTAATGTCTGGCAGCAGAAGATGCGGGGGAAGATCAAGAAAGGAAGAGTTAGAAGAACACAATGGAATTTGTATGAAACGCATGAATAGTGAACTGTTGTCAGACAATGGATTGATGATGGATTGAAGATTTGCAAATTAACGATTTACGATATTGTTCTATTATTTCACTGAGTAACTCTGTAATTTTCGTTAAATACAATTTGGTTGCCCTCACCTGTGTTCTCCTTCACTACAGTAGGAGTTTGGGCAGTAATCAAAAAGTGTAGTGTTTGAAGGTTTTGATCAAGTAGTATATATAATCTAATGAAATAAATTTGAGAAGAGAAAGTTGAAGGTCATGAGAAAATTCAACACAGTCGTTTCGTTCTAGTATGGGATTTTACCAGTAGTGCGTATCCACAATACCTGCCGGCTGTAATCGAACTGAGGACCCTCGGTGTCGCATGTGAACGGTTAACCTTTAGATTGATTATTCAACCGGTATCCAACGATATCTAACCCATATATGGACAAAACGAGTTTCCAATGCTTCCAGGTTTTTAATGGAAGTCTAACACCAAAGTTGGATTTCTACGCGATGCAGTCACCAACACCATGCCCAACCCTCCGCCTCCTCCTTTACTCGGGCTTGGAACTGGCAGAATTAGTGTACATTTGAAGCAAAAATGATTTGGAAATAAAGATGAAAGCGGCAAAGATATATGTAGAATTATAAGAATTCAGTTTATTCCACTCGATTCTCATTAGATGCTTTGAAATGGTGGTGGAGTTTCGTTCTCTGTGCTGGATATGGCTTGGTTATGAAGCTTTTATTATTAATCTTCTTCTGAACAATATCATCAACACAAACTGCAAATAGAAGTGAAGTATTCGAATTTCGCCACGTTTGACCTTTAGCTTGTTCAGTGAACCTCGATCTTGATTGGTTGTTATTGACCTGCTTAACCTGTCGTTGTTTGCACTTTTATTCTGATTGTATTCTCCTTTGATCAGTTAGTTTCTTGATCCTATCTATGTTCGTGTATGATTTTTCTGATTGGTTGATAAATTAGGTCAGTGTCGATGTGTTTGGTGATTGTTGATTGACCTGAGTTCTAAGCTTTGAAAAATTCACATTGTGTTCTTTGAACTTCCTCTATCCAGTATTAAAACATTGTTTCATGTCCATAGTTGTCTGTATGCATTGATATGAAAAAAGAAATGTCGTGGCGTTTGACTGCTAATTGATGTTCAGGTAAACGAGACTGAAGAGGACGTCCACTTTATCCTATGTATCCTATGAATTCATTTCTAATTCCCTTCATATTAAGATTCAGTCAATCAGTCAGCTATAACTAACGTTGAATTTCGTACGCACATACATTAGTTCCAGTTGTCAAACCACATGAACCACTAGATAAAGCTGTGTGGGAGATTATTCAGAATGACGATTTGACTTCGTCAGACTTTTTTAATATCTCCGGTCTCACATAAAAACCATGACTTGCGTCTGTTGCCCCGATGGAGCATAGGCCGCCGACCGGTATTCTCCAACCTACTCTGTTCTGGGCTCCGTTTCCCATTTCTGTCCAATCGCTGTTCATTCTTCTCATATCTCTCTCCATTTCTTGGCGTAACGTGTTCCTTGGACTTCCTCTTTTCCTTTCACCTTGAGGGTTCCAAATGAGGGTTTGTTTTGTGACTGACTCATTCAGGCGCTTTCCGCAGTGGGTATCTTTATTACCCCAATTTATGACTGTAGTAAACTGAGGTTAATCTTTCTTACATAGAATTAAGAGATTAGGCAAGAGCTATAAACAATCAATACAAATATATTAACAATGGTCACACACTTCACAATAACAACTCAATAAAATTCTCAGTCAATAGAACAAACAGCTACTGAGTTGTACAGAAATCCTTATAAATTATTTCTTCTTCAAATGTATGTCAAGATGGTTAGCGTTTTTTTGGCAAGTGAGATTTCACGGGAATGGGGTTGCCAACCCCATGTCCAACACTCCTCCTTTATCCGGGCTTGGGACCGGCAGTAGCCCCTAAGGTTCTACTGGCGGAGTTGTATGTCAAGAAGGGCACTCAAATACTGTACTATTAAAATAACCAGCTCAGTGAATATACCATTGTAATCATCAATCACTCATTGTTAGATCACGACTAAAAACTTGGAAAAAATCATACTATGTGCTCACTGGTAGCAACTAGCTCCGTGAAGAAATTCTCAGAATCCTAGTGAGATGTGACCGCTTGAGAGTTCAACCCGTGTCGGAAATAAGCAGCAGTAACTGCCAAAGACAAATATGTAATGTAGCGCAAAATCTTTAGATTGATCAGAGTCAGACATTCATACAGTTGAATGCTGATGACGTCCCAACAATGGCCAAGAGGTTAGTAGGCATTCGCATGCAAGACCAAATATCCTTGGTTTGAATTCTGCAAGGTGCAGGAATCGTGAATAAGTACTGCCGATAAGTTCCGTACCAGGGCGAAAAGGCAGTCTTTCAGTGCTACTTCCAGGTTTCTAATGGTAATCTAACAATGATTGGTTGTTGACGATTTCAATGTGTAAAAACACACTAATCTCCATTATCAATCACAGTTTTTCATGTCTCAGAGGTACAAACCAACATTGGGAAAAACTTCAGTAACTGACCATGATTAAAGGCGATAATTTGAATCTACTTTTACAGTTTGATGTATTTTTTTCCTTTTATTTCCTTGTATTCTTTCCTAGTGGTCAATACATCACCTACGAATTGGGTGATATAAATCGACCTGTGGTTCTAGCACGTGTATGGTTAAATAATCCATTGAATTTTGACAATGTACCAAATGCTATGTTAACATTATTTGCTGTATCCACTTTTGAAGGTTGGCCTGGTTTGCTTTACAGGTAAAGAAAGTTTCATATAAATGGTGTCATGATGATGATGGATAATTTTTCGTTTTATTTCTATCTATCTATCTATTTATCCTATTTAATAAAACCAACAAGGAAAAAAAACAGTTCGGATGTTTAAGATTGTTATACTCGTCACTTGATATGCTTGAAACTATGACGAGTTTACCTTAGTGAGATAAATGAGAACGAGACAATGAACCAGTGATATTGTGGTGCGAGCTACTTATAAGTAGTATATGACGTGAGTGTCAACGTAATGTCTGGCAGCAAAGAAGATGGGGGAAGATCAAGAAAGAAAGGAAGAGTTAGAAGAACACAATGGAATTTGTATGAAACGCATGAATAGTGAGTGACAATGGATTGATGTTGTTTGCAACAGGAACAGTCCAGTTCGATATGATGATGAACAGATATTTTGCAAATGAACTAACGATTTACTAAGATATGGTTTTTCCGATTTTACTGAGTAACTCTGTAATTTTCCTTAAATACAATTCGGTTGCCCCCAACTGTGTTCTCGTTCACTACAACACTAGTTACCAGATTCGTAAGGTGATTGATTCGTCAAGGTCTAGTGAGAAGATTTATGACCATTAGAGTTCAACCCCATCAGGGGTGTGAATAGTAGTTACTCCTGAAGACAAATGGGTGAAGTTGTGCAAAATAACTAGATTGATCATAGTTAGACATGAACACCGCTGGATGCCAGTTAAGTGGTCCAGTGGTTAGGCGTTCTTGCGCAAGACCACCATTTCGTAAAGCAACTATCTAAATTGTTCATACTTAATAATGATAACAATGGCTTAATTGTTGATGTTGAATACAATAGTGAATACTCCCCATGGAATATTTTAACAAGTTTCTTTGATAAACCAATCAGTGTTTGGCAGTTAGTTGGAAGTAAGCTGTTCAAGAATCAACGTTTTAATAACTATCTACTCTTTTATCAGCAAACTACCAGCCACCTCAATGTCTGATATAGTAAGTACCCCTATGAAGTGATAGCTCGTAAACATTCTATGCATATGCGTGCGTGACTGATTAGAGTATGCCGACACAAGACATAATCGATGTGTTAGAGCAAATAGAAAGAGGTAACTGGTTTTAAATAGTTCGATGCCAGTGAAACAGGTAGTCCAAATATTTCATGTTCTAGAAGATACAACGTCATTAACCGACTACTACTACTCTTTCTCCTGGTGATCGACTGAATTATGAAGACGTCGACGTCTGGAGGTAAGCACGGTATCAACTGGACAGTTGGGACGCAGCTGGACCATCTGGACTTCGCAGATGACCTGACTCTTCTATCGCACACTCAACAATAAATGCAAGAGAAGACGACCAGTGTAGCAGCAGCCTCTGCAGCAATAGGTCTCAACATACATAAAGGAAAATGCGAAATTCTCCGATGCAACACAACATGCACCAACCAAATCACTCTTGATGGAGATGCCTTGGATGATGTTAACACCTTTACATATCTGAGCAGCATCAACGACAACCAAGGTGGATCCGATGCAGATGTGAAGCTGCGGATTGGCAAAGCAAGGGATGCATTTCTACAGTTGAAAAATATCTGGAACTCCAAACAACTTTCAACCAAAACCGAAATCAGGATTTTCAATACAAATGTGAAGACAGTTCTACTTTATGAAGCGGAAACTTGGAGAACTACGAAAGGCATCATTGAGAAGATACAAGTGTTTATTAACAGTCGTCTACGCAAAATACTTCGAATTCGTTGGCCAGACACCATCAGCAACAACGTACTACTGTGGGAGAGAACAAACCAGATTCCAGTGGAGGAAGAAATCAGGAAGAAGTGGTGGAAGTGGATAGGACACACACACTACGAAAAGCACCTAACTGCGTCACGAGACAAGCCCTCACATGGAATCCTCAAGGCAAAAGGAAAAGAGGAAGGCCAAAGAACACACTAAGCCGACAAATAGAGAAAGATATGAGAGGAATGAACAAACATTGTACAGAACTGGAGAAGGAAGCCCAGGACAGACAGAGTTGTTTGGAGAAAACTGGTCGGGGCGGCCTATGCTCCATTGGGGGTAACAGGCGTAAGTAAGTAAGTAAGTACTTATTTAAGCATTGTGAATAGTATGAGTTATAATAATAATAATAATAATAATAATAACAATGACAGATAATTCATTCTTATCACTGATATCATTTAAGAAAATGTGATAAAATCACTTCCTTTTTTTACAATAAATTCTAATTTTTTTTCTGTTTTTTTTTATCAAGAAAAATTTTAATTTATCACATACCATTATTTTAAATTTTTAATAATAATTAATTTTTCTTTTGAAAATTTATTATTATTATTTCATTTTTATTTGAAAATTAACTTTTAATTATTTTCATTATTAATAATAATAATAATAATAATAATAATAATAATTTGGCCAATACCACAATCTCTTTGTATTAAACATTATTTGAATAATAAATATGCATACAACTTATGGAATGTATAGCATTATTTCTATGAAAACTTTGAAAAAGTAAAAAAACAATCCAATTTGTAAGAACTATCTTTTGTATTTTGGCTAAAGTTCAACTCACTAACTATTATTAGTTGTTTTATTTTTTTTAATTAGAGATCAGTTTTTTTGATACACACGTGAATCATAAATCGATCAGTAAGTGTTAGACCATCATTAGAGAGAGAGAGAGAGAGAAACCTGAAAGCACTAGAAGATGGCAGGGTATGCACCACGACTCCTGGCTACTCATAATACAGGATTTGAACGCAAGATAACTTTGGACTTGTAAGCAAACGCCTAACCTCTCTGCATTCCTTGTGTATATATATATATTTAGAATCTTCAAATTTTTTCAAACTTCTTAAAAAAAAAGTCGATCAATCTTTGTCGGGCAAGTTAGATCACCAGAACTCACTTGATAAAAAAAGGCCTTCATTTTTGATGTTAAGCTTTCACTCATGGGCTGGTTAGTTTGACCTTGAGACTACATTTCCCACCAGGAAAATCCTTGCCTGTGTGATGATGATTGGTTATTGTGTTATTTTAGTATGCTATTTTTTTTGGCTCTCACCAAGGACGTTTCTATGGTGTATAAATAAACACGATTTATGTTCTTGAGTTCATTATATTTGCTTAGTGTTTGTAGAATACACTTTCTACGTCTTGTCAAGACTTTTTCTTTAGTTAGTTGTACCCACGGATCAGAGTAGCCTATCATGTTGTAGTGAACGAGAACACAGTTGGGGACAACCGAATTGTATTTCACGAAAATTACAGAGTTATTCAGTAAAATCGGAAAAACCATATCGTCAATCGTTAGTTAATTTGCAAAATATCAGTTCATCATCATATCGAACTGGATTGTTCCTGTTGCAAACAACATCAATCCATTGTCACTCACTATTCATGCGTTTCATACTCTTGTTTTCTTGATCTTCCCGCACATCTTCTGCTGCCAGACATTACGTTGACATTCACGTCATATACTACTACTTATAAGTAGCTCGCACCACATTATTATTGTTATTATTATTATTACAGGAAACAATAATTTTCTTAAAACTATGCTCACCAGTGACTAGGTTGGTGAAGGAAATTCTTGAAGTTCTAAGTGAGAAAATGTGACCGCCAATTAGAGCTCAACCCTGTTCGTGTGCCAAAGGCAATGGTTGAAGTTGAACGAAATTCCGTAGACTGACCATACTTAAACAGTAGCATTGTCGGATGCCAAAGCAGTGATCCAGAGGGGTTAGGCGGTCGTGTGCAAGGCCGAAGGTCCTGGGTTCGAGTCCTGCACAGGTAACAGGAGTCGTGGATGAGTGTATTGCTGACGATTAGTCCCATACTATAGGACAGAACAGTCGGCTTTCAGTGCTTCCAGGTTCCTAATGTTAGTCCAACTAGGAACTATTCAGGATTTCAATATAAAGAAATAACAGCCTAAATCTAATATGACTGACTGCATAACATTACAGAAAATGACTTATTTACCAATAATAAATTTTAATCAGAGAGATGTGACTAAGAGTGATAAACATCAATTAACACTTGTTGTTTCTTTTTGTACACCTGGTATATCTTCACCGTTCTACTAAATTAATGTAAATTACATCTCTATAAACAACTATTTAGAGCTTCTTAGTGGTTTGAAAAATCTAAACATTGATGACCATGTTAGCTGTATATGATAGATAGATAGATATTGTCCAGATGGCCCAACCTTACTAGGTAATTTTCATAGATAGTCACTCATAGAGCCTTTGTGACCTACAAGTTTATTTCACAAGACAGTCGAACCACCGACTGCCTCGACGAGCTTTGTTTTGTAGTGTAGGAATAGGTTGGAAGAAAGTTAGGGGCGGCCAGACCAAAACATGGAAGAAATCCATGAAGTCATTGACGAGTGGACTTAGCCATGTCGGTAATTGTCGACTACCTGGTTGGGGTCCGCGAGATGATAATAATCGATGGTTAGATACCGTGAATGACATGGCTCAAAATCGTTCGCAATGGCGCCGGTGCATTTATTCTTTGTGTTCTCTCAAATCCTAATCTTCTGGATTCTTCAACACCTCTAGTTTCGACTCTCTAAACTTTTCTCACTGAATCATACTTCTTGAATAGTATCTTCTAACCCCAACCTCTCCGATTACTTCTAATTCCCTTACTACCTCTTCTACTATTGGATTTGAATTGACAATTATATCTCTGTGCTGATGTGGTATGGCAACATGAACTGATGTACTTACGTGCGAAGTTCTATGTTGCATCTGACTGACTGACTGACTCACAGGACAGTGGAGTAGCACTTCAGAAAGAGAACTAACCATAGGTTCATAGTCTATTTTCTGCTTCAGGATTGTGCAACCTTTATGCACTATTATTTTTGTTAAAACGAAGAATCCTCCATGTACTCACTAACCTCGTCTAAGACTAGGCGGATAGTTGTTTTTCCTTCTCTCAATTTCATACACAACAACACCCTAGTCATGAGACGATAATGAATAGGATTTCTCTATTAAAGGGGCTATCTACTTGTGGTCATGTAAAAGTATTTATTTTGAGAAGTGGAGCGAACTCTTTTCACTATCGGCTGTACCAAAGCACTTAATAAATATCATTGTATTACACCAATAGCAACAGATTTTATCTACCTCAGAAAGAATTTAAAAAAATCATAACCTTTATGAAGATATATTTTAACCTATTTTTTAAAAAATCATTCACATTGAGACTGACTACGTTAGATGTTTGTTTCATTAACCTGAGTAGCCATAACTTATTGTGTGTGATATTTTCATTGTCGTTCTTATTCACACTGAGAAATTTCGTTTAAAAATGCAAACTTAGTTACTGGCGTAAGCCTTTTTTTTTCTACTGTCAACCGTATAATCTGATCAGTTTTAATTGTTAGTTTCAGAAAGATGTTTATTTTTGTCTAACCTCCTATGCGCTGATAGAATTTATTCTGTGCTCATTAGATTGTACCAAAAAATTGATGTAAAATCATTTACAGGTTTTTTTTAGTGAATAACTCCTATCTTACTGATGGTTAACCATGTGTGAAAATTCTTCATGATGACAGTTACTGCCTTGAAGGGCTATGTTTCATAGTGCAGAGCTAGGCTAGAAGAAATCTAAGGGTGGCCAGAATAAAACATGGCATAAATAAATCCATGAAGTCATTGATAACTGGACTGTACCATGTTGGTAGATGTGTAGACTGCCTGGTTGTGGTCCGTGAGACAATCGTAACTCATAGTTAGAGACTTTCAATGACATGAATCAAAATCGTTTGCGATGCCGCAAGTGCTTCCACTTTTTGTGTGTGATCCCGTATTCTAATCTGAATTCTTCATAACCTTCATCTTTCTATCGTCAAACGTTTTGTCATCGGATTATATTCCTTCAACAATATCTTCAAAACCTAGTCTTCCCCATAACAGCCAATACTTCTACTACCTCTAGAACTTTGTGATTTCAAGTGACAATTCCACCTCTCTGTGCTAATGTGGTATAGGAACTTGTACTGATGTACGTTCGTGCGATGTTCTACCTTGTTGCTGACTGAATGGATGAATGAATGAATGACAGTTATCATGAGAACCAATAAATATCGTCCTTTCACTTTCAAGTATTTTAACATTACGAAAAGAAGTTTATTTTCGTCATAGAGTTGTGAACATTCTTGGATTTCATTGAAATGATGAATCGATCCTTGTAAGAAGTCGGGACCAGTAGAGTTCAACTCTGTAAGGTGTAAGGCAGTTACCTCCCTGAAGACATTAGGTGAGGTTTCACAATACGTTGAAATTAATAAAGCTAGACAATAATACCATCGGATGTCGGCTTAATGTAGTAGTCCAGAGGTTAGGCGCTTGCATACGAGACCAAAGGTTATGGATTCAATCCCAGCGAGCAGCAGAAGTCGTGGACACGCACTACTGATTAGTCCTATACTTACTTATAGGTCAAAACAGTCATTCATTGCTTCCATGCTTCTTCTAATGATTATCTAACAATAACTATTTCATGATCTCAAAATAAAATAAATTAACGCAATACTTATTAATTCATCATAGTTATGTTATGTCATGTTATTTTATTCCTCCTATTTATTCTTCTGTATTTATCAGATCAATTGATTCCTATGCTGAAGATTATGGAAGTGTATACAACAACAGGCCAATTGTTGTGATCTTTTATGTGGCTTATATTATTGTGATAGCATTTTTTATGATTAATATCTTTGTTGGTTTTGTTATTGTCACATTTCAACAAGAAGGTGAACAAGAATATAGAAATTGTGAATTAGATAAAAATCAAGTAAGTTAATAGTTTGTCATGAATACTACTTGTCGATCAGAGTTCATCGTTCAGTTTTCTATTCCGATTAATGTTGTTATTCACTATGTGTGATGAGTAAATTTTTTTTTGTTTCAAGGGTGTTGAGAAGTCACTAATTTACATTATCACAGGGTATATACATGTTTGTGGTGGTGGTGATGTTTGGTTCTTTGAGCTGGATGCGTTTTGGTTGTGGAGCTTTGATTGTTCTTCTTCTTCTGAACAATGAACATCATCAGCACAAACTTCAGATAGATATATGTTCAGATATATATATGTTTATTTGTTATCATAAATGATCGGTATTCCAGACTGAACTCGAAACATGGCTCATAATCCTGTGTTGAACGAGCAACTTGAATATGCCATGACATACTACTTCCTCTCAGTTTTGATATGTTCTATTTAAGCCGATTGATGGTAATTTAAAATTGAAATACGGATTCAGTTGGATGAGTTTACTGCAAGCAATTGTTTAAAGCAGACAGACATGATACTACAGAATGTTAAAACAAGCGTAGCGAAGTGGAGAAGGCCAATGAGCCAACTAACTCAATGTAATGAAGTTTGATCAGGCATTTATAGTCAGATGAAACTAAGCTAAAGACATGTGATAAGTGAAGTACTACAGTGCACACATACATTGTCGAATAAAACCAACCACGATAAAAGTGAATAGTAAGTAGGCATGGTCGGAAAATTCAATTGTCCAAAGGCTGGGCTTGACAAACAAGTACGCACACACACACTACAAGTACTTCATAGTTAAAGATAGACAAATTTATTAACAATCTTTTGATTTACTTACGATTGTTACTCCGAATGGGTGAACATAGGCCGCCAGCTAGAATTCTCTAATCTACTCTGTTTTGAGGCTTCCTTTTCCAATTCTACCCTAATTACTATTCATTCTTTTCAATATCAACTTCCAATGCTCATCAGGGTATGTTCCTTGTTCCTTGGTTATCGTTATTATTGTTGAATCAGTATTTAGCGGCTCCTGACGACTGGACTTTAGTGTGAACAAATGATCGATCGAGTGTGTGCAATGAAATAAATCTTCCTATCCCTTTTCGTGCGACAGTGTTGCGGTGTTGCGGATTAATTTATTTCATGTATTCCTCTATGCAGACGGACATAATAATAGGAAGCGTACGAGCAAAACGATGCAAACTGGAGAAGGCGAGTGAGCCAACTCGCCATGAGTTGAAGAAAATGACTCAGTATTTATAGTCAAGCAATAATTGCAGGCTAGACATGTAATAAGCGAGTAAGCAAGCATGCACACACACACACAATTATGCAACAATCGATACTGTTACCGAGTTATTACCAATACAAAATTATGGTCGATACAATTATCGAATAATTGAAATGACAAATCCATTGAAGTACAATGAATGAATGGTGAGATACCTACCACAAGTCTACCGCCAACAACACGATAATGTAAAAATAATTATGTTATCATTTAAAACAAAGACTTTTAAAATGAGGCAATCTTGTGTTCCCCACAGTAGCTACTACCTTGACTTTGTGGTTGGGCATGCCTATGGTGATGACCCAACCGAGCTAGATTGGCTGGAACTTATGTTTCTGAAGGTTCTACCATGCCAGGTAGGTCGATTGGAGAACGATTGAGACTAAAAGCGGCTACTCAAGGCCTGAGGGCGAAGTCGTACTGCCGACTGCAGAGAGGTGTGATAGCAGTAAGGTGTTTCCCTTTGACAACCAGCATCTGCAGAGTGATGCTGCCTTCTCACAAGGAAGGAAGGGTTTAAAAATGGCTGACCCTAAAAATATCACATCTCACTTTACCTAACAGATTTTCGGATCCAGCGATAAGGCCAATTAAAGAGCGGAGCTAACATGTCAACTTCCCGATCTCAAGCAGTTGCCCCCTTGGGATCTGCGGTCACGGCCCTAAGTCTCCAATACCAAAGTTAATCCAACCTCCTTTTCAAGTTTCTCAAGAAATACCCATACACTGTGTGGGTAGCCGGAAAATGATATCTACCCGTAGGCACGTAACAGCACAAGAGAACTAACGAATAAGTCATAGTCTTGTGTTATAAATAAAAATGCCAAACCGTAATAACACTAAATATTACACAAATTATGAATTGTCTTCACCAACTGATATAATATCCCTATAGAATACTTGTTAAGTTCGTCACTAGGTACGCTTGAAGCTAATACAAGTTCACCTCTCAGTCGATAAACGCGAACAAGACAATGAACCAGCGTCCAGGTAGGCAACCTTAATCCCAAAACTGCAAGAGAGAAGTCTTAATAAGAATAGAAAGTATGGTCCACAAACACCCAGCAATCACACCATACAATCAAGCACACAACTCTCGTTTATTTATAAATCATAGAAACGTCCTTGGAACAGTCAGAAAACTTACTTACTTACTTACACCTGTTACCCCCGATGGAGCATAGGCCGACCACCAGTTTGCTCCAACCAACTCTGTCTGTCCTGGGCTTCCTTTTCCAGCTCTGTCCAAATGTTGTTCATTCCTCTCATATCTTTCTCTATTTGTCGGCTTAATGTGTTCCTTGGCCTTCCTCTTTTCCTTTTGACTTGAGGGTTCCATGTGAGGGCTTGTCTCGTGACGCAGTTAGGTGCTTTCCGCAATGTGTGTCCTATCCACTTCCACCACTTCTTCCTGATTTCCTACTCCACTGGAATCTGGTTTGTTCTCTGCCACAGTTCGTTGTTGCTGATCATGTCTGGCCAACGAATCCGAAGTATTTTACATAGACAACTGTTCATAAACACTTGTATCTTCTGGATGATGGCTTTGGTAGTTCTCCATGTTTGCGCTCCATACAGTAGAACAACTGTCTTGACATTTGTATTGAAAATTCTGATTTTGGTTTTGGTTGAAAGTTGTTTGGAGTTGCAGATATTTTTCAACTGTAGAAATGCAGCCCTTGCTTTGCCAATCCGTGCCCTCACATCTGCATCGGATCCACCTTGGTTGTCGATGATGCTGCCCAAATATGTAAAGGTGTTAATGTCATCCAAGGCATCTCCATCAAGAGTGATTTGGTTGGTGCATGTTCTGTTGTATCGGAGAATTTTGTTTTTTCCTTTATGTATGTTGAGACCTACTGCTGCAGAGGCTGCTGCTACACTGGTCGTCTTCTCTTGCATTTGTTGTTGCGTGTGAGATAGAAGAGCCAGATCATCTGCGAAGTCCAGATCGTCCAGCTGCGTCCTAACTGTCCATTGGATACCGTGCTTCCCTCCAGATGTTGACGTCTTCATAATCCAGTCGATAACCAGGAGAAAGAGAAAGGGTGAGAGTAAGCAACCTTGCCTCTTAACGGTCACAAAAATAGCACACTAAAATAACACAGCAGTCCATCACAGTCAAAGACCTTCCTGGTGGTAGGAAATGCCATCTCAAGGTTAACTGATCAGCACATGCTCGCGCAAACGTGAAATCCAAAATTAAGGCATTTTTATCAAGCGAGTTCTGGGGATCTAACATCCCCCAACACATACTTACTATTCAGAATTGCTTTTTGAATAGTAACTATTTTTAGATATTCAATTATTTTCTCATAGGACAATATTTATATATATATAGAAACGTTATAGATTTACCCGACTGAATAAACTATTTCATCATTTTATCAACAACAAAGCAGAAGAATAATGATTACTTGAAAGAAACAAACTTTGATTTCATTAAGAAATCTAAAAATGTTAGTTATATTATATTCATTTTAAAAAACCAGTTCATTCATTGTCTAAAAGTCATGAATGTAGAATGAGATGAATAAAAGAAAATTCATTTCCTTTCAATGAATAAAAAAAATATGAAAACAGCTGGTTTGGTGGATATGCTTAGTTAACACATTAGATATTGAATTGATCCAAGAGGTTTATTTCATTTAATTAATAAAAATCTAATTATCAAAGGTCAGTCGTCTAGTATTGTAGTGAAGGAGAACACAGGTGAGGGCAACCGAATTGTATTTAATGAAAATTACACAGTTACTCAGTAAAATCATCGGAAAACCATATCGTAAACGGTTAATTTGCAAAATAACAGTTCATCCTATCGAACTGGACAGTTCCTGTTGCAAAATATCAATCCATTGTCACTCACTATTCATGCGTTTCATACAAATTCCATTGTGTTCTTCTAACTCTTCCTTTCTTGATCTTCCCCCGCATCTTCTGCTGCCAGACATTACGTTGACACTCACGTCATATACTACTTATAAGTAGCTCGCACCACAGTATGACGTATCTAAAAAGTGAAGATAATGTTTGAAGATTGATTCATATATGATAATAAATATCTTCCTCATCCTACCTCACGGATTTCCGTCTCCGGCGCTAAGAGTGTCCATTAAGGGCTTTTTAAGAGCAGAGCTGGTACTAAAAAAACCATTGATAAAAAAGCCATGAGTAACCGGCCTCAAGCAATTGACCCTTGGGCTCTGTGGTCACTCACCCAGGTCTCTAAGACCAATACTAATCTATCTTCCTTTTCAGGTCCCTCAAGGTTGATCAAAAGTTAGACATTAACACCATTGGATGCTGGCTCACTAGGGTATTGAGGTTAGGTGTCTATACGCAAGACCGACGGTCCTGGGTTCGGTTCCTGTGAGTAGCAGGAGTGGTGGATGCACACTGCTGATTAGTGCCACACCAGGACGAAACGGCTGTCTAGTACTAATCATTGGATTCGTGTGCAAGTTGGGATACTACTATCTGTCACTCACCCAGGTCTCTAAAACCAACACTAATCTATCTTCCTTTTCCGGTTCCCTTAAAAAAACAACCTTCCACGGTGTTTTAGGCAGTCGGGAAGTGACAACCACCCTCATATCTGTAACAGCACACGAGACCAAACTGGTAGAAATCAAATCAATAAATATCTTACTGGATAGATAGATAGATATATGGAAGATGTTTTTGTGTGAGTAGTGAGTGATATGTTGAGCCTAGATGGCTAATCCAAGCCTTTGATCGAATTAATTATATGCATTATGGATTTTTGGAGATTGTTGAGTTACTTTGACATCAATCATGAGTTGATCAATGTTCGACTATCATTGGAATTGTGAAAGCAATGGACGGTCGTTTCCTCTTGGTATAGGACTCATCAACAGTGAACATGATCTCAAAGTAACTCTACAGTTTCCGAAACCGTTCTATGCAAATTATCATGTGCTCACTTGTAACCTAGCTGCGTAAAAAAAGTTCTCAGAATTCTAGTGAGAAGTCGTGACTAGTGGAGTTCAACCCTGTTTTAGGTGTGAAGCAATGTACACAGAAGACAATAGATGGGATTCTGCAAGACCGTAGATTGGTAGAAGTTAGACAAAACCATTAGATAGCGGTCCGGTAGTCCAAAGGTTAGGCGTTTGCGCGCAGGACCGAAGGTCCTAGGTTCGAATGATATGGATGCTCACTGATGATAAGTCCCATACTATAGAATGGCAAAACGGCAGTCAATTGGTTCTAGATTAATGTTGGTGCTCTAACTAACATTGACCTATTCATGATCTTATATTAATTACAATCCGTTTCTTTCGAGTTATTCACACATCTCTTAACCTTGTCTATTATTCGCTTACAACCTTACAATTGTTTATGCACTGCTTACTTTGCTTACTGCACTGCCAACCTATTTTTGTCCGACTGCAAATACTTAGTCATGTCTCGTTGCTTTGAGTTCGCCTAATTCGCCTTCTCCACTTCGTTTTGCTTTGGTTGTAAGACTTATATTCTCATGTTTCTCTGAGTGAACGATTCTTCTCATTTAACTGAAATCGTATTCGACTTATCATTACTGCTGCCATTTGTCTGTATGTTTAGCTCTGTGTTTATTTCTGCGTTGATCATTTAAAAACAATGATTAATTATATTCGTTGAACATTGAAATCGAACCCAGGAACATAGGTTTGACATGTGAATGCCTCCTAACCTCCAAATGTCTGAATCAATTGCCCACATTTGATGAACATGGAATATATAAGCACAGAGTTACGGAGAATGTACATTTTGAGTTTGATATCATTACCGCTGAATGTTGAAACTTCACTTTTGAAATCATTAATCAATCATCATTGGTTAGACCACATCATTAGAAACCTGGAAGCACTGGATGGCCGTTTCGTCCTAGTATGGGACTCCTCAGCAGTGCGCATCCACGACTCCTGCTCCTCGCAGGATTCGAACCCGGGACCTTTGGCATTGTAGGCGAACGCCTTACCATCGGACCACTGGACGAAACGGCCGTCCAGTGCTTCCAGGTTTCTAATGGTGGTCTAACAATGATGATTGATTAATGATTTCAAATGTGTAAAAACGCAAACCTCCAAAAACTGTGCCTCAATATATCAAAACTTCACTTGCCTAGACCAACGGTTCCTGGATTCAATCTCCGCTTGCAGTGTCGTAGGTACACACTACTGCGGAGTAGTCCCACAATGAAAAACAAAACAGCCATCTAGCGCGCTCTCTCTCTATCTCTCTACCTCATTTCCAATAGTCTCACAACAATCAATCTATGCGTTCATTGATTAATATTATATTTTTTTCTTAACCAGTTGTTACGTTTATATCCTATTGTCATACAAAAGCATTAATTTATTCAAAATCTTCAACCAACTAAAGTGATATCTTCTCTCTCTCTCTCTCTCTAATCCATCAGTTTTATTTTTATGCCTTATTGATAGACAAAATAGTTTTTTTTAGTTCTTCATCCTAAATCAATCTCATCATTGATATTCAGTCACACGTACACACACACACACAATATCTGCAATCAGTATGTCTCATCAGTGTATGTCTTCTATGTTATACCTACATTGCTTAATGATTACTTCAAGTGAGGTTTGTTTTCTAATTTTAATGTGCTTAATCTATGCGTGAGTGAGTAGTCTAATAGATAACGCACACACACACACATACATCTATCTGTTGCATTGTGTACTTCTTCAATAAAACGTAAATAGGCGTGTATTGGTTATTTTAGAGAAAATCATATATATTAGTACCAATCAGATTGTGCGAATACAAACAATCTTCACGCATTTGTCATAGTGCTAGTACTAGTAGTAGTACTAGTAGTAGTAAGATTAATAATAATCCTGATAATTAGGATGATCATATCACAATGAATGCACTTCCTCTACATCAATCGACTGACCGAATTGACTGACGGACGGACTGACTGACTGACTTGTGATATACTATTGACTGTGGTGGAATTTTATCCCTATCTAAGCTTCGGAAAAAATATACAACACTCCATTAATTTGATGATTATTGGCATGGAATGGTGGATTACACTCATTGTGCTCTATGTATTTAGCTTATCAAGATATGTTCATTCACAACATAATAACAATGTATTCAACGACTTGCAAATCCGTCCACAAATTTCAATAAAACCAGTGAAAATATCCCCCAATGATTTTTACATACTACAACCTCCATCATCATTATCCTCCTCCTCCTCAATAAAGAATACACGCCAATTCCAAGAGTTTTGTTTAGCATTACGTATACCACCTCACCAACATTCATTTATTTCATCTCAATTAGATTTAATAAAAATTTATTTACAATCAAATAAACCCTCAACAACAACAACAACAGTTGATAATGATGAGTTATTCGCTATTTTACAACTGAATACGCTTAGAACAACAACAACAACAGCAACAGCAACAAATCAACCATTCGCCTTGGTCACATTGAATTATGTCAATCAATCTGATGCGTTGTTGAACCGTAACATCAATAGAAGATATCCATTGTTGAAATCAACAAATACTGTCTATCTGTTTGTTTTCACATTAGTGAATCCTGCCCATCAACAAATTGTTGGTAAACTAGCTTCATCTACGCATCCTTCATGTTTCTCAACGGATCGATTAGATTTAAGGCATATTCTTGCAAAGTTTTGTATTTCACTCATCGATTGTAATCAATTGTCGATGGTGAATAATAGTGAAGAAGAAGAAGAAACTAGTGATACTGATCATGATGATGGTGATGCGGATTATGATGATGATTACCCTGAACGACCACGATACCACAGACGAGTGAAACGTGATGTCTCATCGAACACAATAACAACCACAACAACGACGGATGATTCATCTAAACCTGGACTTAGTATCGGTCTATTAGTTGTCGTAATTATCATACCAATATTAGCTGTCATTGGATTAGCTATTGGCGGTTATTTCCTTTATCGTTGGTTACATAAACGTCGTGCATCGCATGGAATTTATCAACCGAATTATATGGAGAATGAAGCGAATTTAACTAAAAAACCTGAACCACATGAAATAGTGAAAATACCACCGGAAGAAAGATTAATTTAGAGAGAATGACAAAATATTCTTTTTTGTTTTTAGATAATGTGATTTGATTTGATTTGATTTCATTGTTTGAGTTTCCTCTATATGACATTTTCTCTCTTTTTCTTGCTTTCTCTCTCAATTTTTCGTTCCGCCCCCCCTCGCTCCCACCATCTAACCCATCCCACCAAACTCCCGCCCGACCGCCCGCCTGCCCGCCAAATGTATTGCATAATCTCATCTTATCTTTCAAAAAAAAAACACAGCGTAAATGCATTGAATTCGCATTGAAAGCTAGACCAGTGAAACGATATATACCGAAAGAGAATTTTCAATATCGTATCTGGTGGTTTATAACATCACAACCATTTGAATATTGCATTTTCATCTTTATATTGATTAATACCATTTCGTTAGCAATGAAAGTGAGCCCTATTTCGAGTATATTCATATATATATATATATATATATATATATATATATATATATATATATATATATTTGTTGTTGATGTTTTTAGAATTAACTAACCAATTTTTAAGGCAGGTTGATAAAAATAAATATTATGTATAGCAGTGACGGAACAATTGATATTTTGTGCTGTAATTATCGCTTCTCTCGCGCTCTCGCTCTCTCTCTCTAATTCCGCTTTTTTTTCGAGAAATCTTGATCATACTACTTAATTGTACAGTTTAATGAGTAATATGCTTACTTAATGACGTATGTAGACCCTTAATGAAGTGTACTCCGTTGACTAGCGGTGAATAATTCTTTCTGATTAACGCGTTTTTTTTCCCTACCGAGTTCGATTTCTAAGCGGTGGGGTCACCAAGCCCCCAACCTACCACCTCCTACTGCTCTTCAATATATCCGGGTTTTTGACCGGCCAGAATAACCCATAGATGAGCTGTGACAGTGGAGTTCAGTTTCGCGAAAGTAATAAAACTTACGTCATAACACCCTGTGATCTATGTAACATTTTAATACACTCTACTACTAACCTAGTTGTGTTGATTATTCACGCAGAAAAAAAAAATAAATTATATGTAACTGATTGATTTGTGTATTATAAAACTATTCAATTCATTCTATGTAACTTTGAATGAAAGCGAAAAAAAAAATGTTACTGTTCTGTTTTTTGATTATTTTGATGATTTTTGCTTTATATATATGAAGATGTTGTGACCAGTGGAGTTCAACTATGTCGGGTGTAGACAGTAATTACCAAAGGCAAATGAGTGATGTCGCGCAAAATCCCTTGATCAATCATGGTTAGACATTAACACCGTTGGATGCCGGCCCAGTGGTCCGGAGGTTAGGCGTTCATGCTCAAGACCGAAGGTCCTGGGCTCGAATCCTGTGAGGTGCAAGAGCCGTGGATGCGTATTGCTGATGAGCAGTCCCATAAAAGGACGAAAGGCCCATCCAGTGCTTCCAGGTTTCTAATAGTTATCTAACACTGATTGATTAAATGGTGATTTCAAATATATATATATATATATATATATATATAGTTATGGAGATTGGTGTTGGTTATTTACTGAAATCATGAATCAATCATTGTTAGACTATCGTTAGATAAAAAAACATCTGGAAGCACTGAAATACAACCATTTTGTCCTGGTGTTGGACGTGACCAGTGGAGTCCAACCTTGTCGGGTGTTGTAGACTGAAGGTAAATCCTTTAGTTGATCAGAATTGGTCACTCACAACCGTTGTATGCCGGCTTATTGCGATTGAGAAGTTAAGTGTTCTCATTCGAGACCAAAGGTCCTGGGTTCAATTCTCGCGAGTAGCAAGAGTGATAGATACTCACTGTCACTGATGAGTCAATGTCATAATAAAGCACGAAACGGTCACCACCGTGGTTATTAAAGCGTCAGACATGTACCTTTTATCCCCTCAATTCGGTAAGCAACACCTAAGCCACGAGAAAGGAGGGAGTATGAACGCCCTGTCAGTGAGTGGTTATATACTGATGACTATATGAGACTTTTTTCAGAGGAGAAAGATTAGACTCTCTTAACTTCCGACCGTACCATGGCATTTAGAATGTCCCAGTAGACTTGAACTAATAACGAATTGTTAAATAGTTTCAGAGAAGATCCATTTTGCTGATTGATAACCACATAGTTCATTGATGACAGCTTGAAATTTAGTTCAGCTATTCAGCTGAATTACCATTGAGATGGTGAATGAAATTTGTAGCTCAACTGATGATAGATCGTGGTAGTTTCGTTTTCTAAGCTGGATAGTTTGATCGTGGAGCTTTCATAATTATTAAACCTCTGTTGAACGGCATCAGCAGAGTATTCGAATTCTCCATATATGAATCCCAGCTTGACTTGCCAACCTCTATTCTGATTGGTTATTATTGTTGACCTTTTTTACTTGTTATCAACTATATCTTTGGTTTATTTGTATTCTCCTTAGATCGTATTTTTGGTCCTGTATTTGTTGGGGGATTTTTCCGATCGGCTAATAAATAAATGTATGCGTTGGTTGAGGGACAAATGTTTAAACATTTCCTGATGTTGTTAGCTTTTTATCTATCCAAGATTTCAAAACTTTTCCAGTTGAATAAATATATGTCCACAGTTGATATTAGAGACGTGTTGTGGCATCTGACTGCTAATTTATGTTCATAGAGGCGAAGAGATGAAGGAGGTGTGTTACTTTGACTGCTGTTGCGTTTGTCATAATTGAAACAGTTTATTTTGTAAACTGTCATTTCATTCATTGGTTTGTATGAAGTAGACTGAGGTGTTATTTCGCTGGTTTGTATTGTACACCGAATCAAAACGCCTTCGTCATTCTCTTTACAATTACTGATATCCTTGATATAAATGTGATAGGTGACCAGCTTTTTGTTCCTTTTACAGATTTCGTTTTTTCTGATGAGTTGGGTTGGTATTTCTCGAGAAAATCGTATGAGCAGGCGTTCTTTTGGAGTGTAGTCATCACATATTTCTCCGTGCGGCATGTATGCTGCAGTGTTTGCTGACCCTCTTGAATGAAGTTTGATTTTCTAAGTTCTTGAATTATTGCTATTATAGTTAAGAATATGATCTGTGTGGGTCGGCTTCTGTGATGCTTGAGTCTCCACTTTTTCTGTCCTGGTCCTGGTGATCACTGCCTCCAAGAATGATAGTTTATCGCTAGCCTCCTTTTTCATTATGAATTTTATGTCATCAAAGATGTTGTTGAGTAGATATCAAGCGTTTTCCAGTTCGTCTCTTTTGGTTATAACGAATGCGTCGTCTGCATAATGGTACTACTAGTCTTGGCATCATTGCTCCTTCAATAAACCTCTACACTACAGAACATATCGGTGTTTCCGGATTTTATCGCTGAACTTGTTGAACGTCTGGAGATTGATTTCTATGATGATGATTAGGGATAGCGTTAGTTACGTCGACCAGTATCATCAGTTCGTTGTTGTCGATTTTTGAATCTCCGTAAGTTTATCCAAGAAGTATATAAGAGATTTACTGGAGTGATTGGATGAATCTCCTAAATGTCTCACTCAATATGATTCTTGAAATTTTTTCTCAATAAACTAACTATATGATATAATTCCGAGGAGGGATACAATGAAACATTAGTGAAATGTTCGATTTGTGAAGTTTCAACCTACCGTAACGATTCCACTGTCATATTTGTCCTGCTCTGACAAAGTTTGTTTAATGCCTCTTAGATTTGTTTGACTAGTCAACAACAGATTAGGTTTACATATATGCTTCTAAATTCTGATTAGATATTTTTGGCCTTCTTGAAATATACTCCTTCTTTGTCTGTAAACTACTGTAGTAAGCCAGTTTTTCCTCTAAAGCGATCACTATAGTTTCGTATTCACATAAGTAACACAAGCCGTAGTCACATTGAAACCACATATACATATATTTTACATGATTAAAGTACAAAAATTAAAGTGTAACGTTTGAAAAAACATACCATCATGCCTTAAAAAATTACTTTATCATCCGAACTAAAATTTTTTAAAATATTTTTTAAATATCGGAAAACTTTAAAGTGTCACTTTGACGCTGAAATAGTTTACTTACATAAATTCAATAAAACAACCACAAGAATCGATTATCATTTTAACTATGAGTAGTCATAATATCTAAATCATATATATGTAACCTAGATTAATCAATCAGTTTAGGTATTTTCTCTCTCTCTCTCTCTATGTATATATATATATATATCGTAACAGGAGACAGATAATACGTTCATACTCAGTTTGTTGCATGAGTGCGCTGGAGCTTATGTGTGTTATATTGGTTCGGAATGATGAAGGTTTTTTTCAAATCCCCTAGTAAGGTTATCGATACCCACTACCAGGGTTAAAGGGTCAGACACTCACCTTCCGTATGTATATATATATATATTTACTGAATTAATATTAATAATCGGTACAGACTGACTAAGAGTTGAGCTTAACACAGATTACTGTTCTCCAAAATGTCATGACCAAATTATACATCTGAAGGAGACGATATGAAGAGGGCGTCGTAACAACGGATATACCTGTAAAGACTATATATATATATATATATAACCTTGTCTATGATTTTATTCTTTACCATTGATTGTTAAACTTACTTAAGGTGGTAAAATCCTAATGTGATGACAAATGACTAGACTGGTGCTGTTTTTACGTAGTAGTAACGGTTAAGATTTGACAGCAAAAGTACTATCAGTACCTAAAACACATGATGATAATTATAACTCACACTATTCACAATGCTTAAATAAGTAGTAGTCGGTTAATGACGTCGTATCTTTCAGAACATGAGATATTTGGACTACCTGTTTCATTGGCAACGAACTATTTAAAACAAGTTACCTCTTTCTCTTTGCTCTAACACATCGATTATGTCTTACATTCGCATAATCTAATCAGTCACGCACGCATATATATAGAATGTTTACGAGCTATCACTTCATAGGGGTACTTACTATATCAGACATTGAGGTGACTGGTAGTTTGCTGATAAAAGAGTAGATAGTTACTCAAACGTTGATTCTTGAACAGCTTACTTCCAACTAACTGCCAATAACTAAATTCTCTACAGAGGAAATTTGTTGAAATATTTCATGCTGAGTATTCGCTACTGTATTCAACAGAAAATATTGAACACTTGAGATAGTTGCTTTACGAAATAATTGTCTTGCGCGAGAACGCCTAACCACTGAACCACTTAACTGGCATCCAGCGGGGTTAATGTCTAACTATGATCAATCTAGTTATTTTGCGCAAATTCACCCATTTGTCTTCAGGAGAAACTACTATTCACAGCCCCAGTGGGGTTGAACTCTAATGGTCATAAATCTTCTCACTAGACCTTGACGAATCAATCACCTTACGAATCTGGTAAGTAGTGTTGTAGTGAACGAGAACACAGTTGGGGGCGACCGA